CAGGAGAGAACACATCATTAAAGTCGATACCTTCTTTCTGAGTGAATCCCCTAGCAACCAATCTTGCCTTGTATCTCTTCGACGTCACTCCTTCGATTCCTTCCTTAACTTTGAAAATCCATTTATAGCTGACTAACCTGGCTCCAGCAGGTTTCTTGATCAGTTCCCAGGTGTTGTTATCATGAAGAGATTTCATCTCATCATCCATGGCCTTCAGCCATTCAGTCTTCTTTCGACTCCTCATAACTTCCTTATAGTCTCTAGGTTCTTCATCTAGAACCTCACTAGCAGAGATTAAGGCATAAGCTATAAGATCTGCATACCCAAGTCTCTGAGGTGGCTTGATGACTCTCCTCGACCTGTCTCTTGCTAGTAGGTAGTCATTATCAGTCTCCTCATCTTCGACAACATCTTCTGTGTCTTCTTCGACTTCATCTAGGGTAAGCAATTCAGCATCAACATGCTCCACCTCAACAGGAATCTCTCCCTGTTCCAGCTCTTCGTCAGCATCATCAGTTTTCTTGAAAGCCATCTCTGTTTCGTTGAAAACTACATCTCGACTGGTTATACACCTCCTGTAACCTAGCTCTAGGCACCATAGCCTATAAGCTTTGACTCCTTCAGGGTATCCCATGAACATGCATTTCAGAGCTCTAGGTTCGACCTTGTCTTGCCTAATATGAGCATAGGCCACACAGCCAAATACTCTCAGTCTGTCGAGACTAGGTGGATGTCCCGACCAAACTTCTTCAGGTGTCTTCATTCCCAAGGCAGTCGAGGGACATCTATTTATCAGGTAAGCTGCTGTCGAAACAGCTTCCGACCAAAACACCTTCTTTAATCCAGCACTAACCAACATGCATCTAACCCTTTCAAGGATTGTTCGATTGAATCTCTCAGCTAAGCCATTTTGTTGAGGAGTACCTGCTACAGTCTTATGCCTTGCAATCCCATACTCAACACAGTAACTGTCGAAAGCTTCGTTGCAGAATTCAAGGCCATTGTCGGTTCTCAACCTCTTAACCTTTCTGCCAGTCTGAGTTTCGACTAGAATCTTCCAACTTTTGAAATTCTCAAAAGTTTCATCCTTCGTCTTCTGAATGAATACCCATAGTTTTCTGGAATAGTCATCAACGATGGATAGAAAATACCTTGCACCTGAGTGTGAAGGATTCCTTGCAGGCCCCTAAAGATCAGCATGAATGTAATCCAGGGATCCATGTGTTCTTTGCTTGCCTTTGTTAAACTTCGCCCTACAGGATTTACCAAATACACAAGATTCACAAAATTCCAACTTTTCGACTTTGTCACCTCCTAGCAGGTTCTGCTTCCCCAATTCGACCAGGCCTCTTTCGCTGACATGGCCCAATCTCATGTGCCATAATTCTGTCTTCGACATAGATTTCGTGGATGCAACATTTGTCGAACCACTTACAACCTCAACCTCAAGGGTATACAAGCCTTGTTTCTTCACGCCTCTCAAGACTTCCTTCGACCCCTTCATGACTCTTAGGATACTTTTCTCTCCTTGAAAAACATATCCTTTTCTGTCGAATTCACCAAGAGAAATCAAATTTCTCTTCAAGTCAGGTACGTACCTGACTTCAGTCAATAACCTTATTGACTCATCATGGAGCTTGAATCTCACAGATCCAATACCTGCAATTTTGCAAGATTTGTTGTTTCCTAACAGCACAGATCCACCATCTTGATCACATAGCTCCTCGAACAATTCTCTGTTTGGAGTCATGTGCCAAGTGCAACCTGAATCCATAATCCACTCTTTCCTCGAGTCGCCACTTGAAACCACAAGAACATCAGATGAGTCGAAGTCATCTTGAACAATGGCTGCATTGCCATTACCTCCATGATCTTTCAGGCGTTCAGGGCACAACTTTCTTATGTGACCCTCCTTCTTACAGTGGTAACATTGAATACTAGATGTTTCGCCACTATAAGACTTCTGTTGACTTTTACCTTTTTTCTTGTCGAACTTACCATCCTTTCGCAAGAATTTTCCCTTAACGGCCAAACCTTCGCCCACCGTCGAAGGTTTATGCTCCTTTCGTTCGTTCAAGTCCTTAGAATACAAGGCTGATTGAACTTCTTCAAAGGCCAGGGACTCCCTTCCATACAAGAGAGTTTCTTTGAAGTGAGCATGTGTTCTGGGCAAAGCACACAACAGCAATAGTGCTTGATCTTCATCATCGATCTTCACATCAATATTTTCAAGATCAAGAATCAGCTTGTTGAACATATCCAACTGCTCAGCCAACACTTTGTCTTCACTCATCTTGAATGAATATAAAGCTTGCTTCAGGTATAGTCGATTCACCAGAGATTTGGTCATGTACAAACTTTCAAGTTTCACCCATAATCCCGATGCTGTAGTCTCCTTTGATACCTGTCGAAGAACCTTATCACCAAGGCTCAATAATATTGCGCTGTGGGCTTTCTCGATCATGCCCGTCTTTTCTTTTGCCGTTAACGCAGCGTCCATGGCTGCCTCACCCTTCAACGCTTCCAAACAACCCTGCTGAACCAATAGGGCTTTCATCTTCAAGCGCCACAGGCCGAAGTCGTTCACTCCGGTGAACTTTTCAATCTCATACTTTGTTGAAGGCATCTTCTCCACCCTCACCGCACCAATTTGTTGTGAATCAGATGCCTTTAAACAAAGTATAAACAATTTCTTATTGATCAAGAAACTCACAAGGGTTAGGGTTAACAAAGAAAACAAGGTAAAATAACAAGGAACAACAAGGATTGGTTATTAAACTGCTATTCTTTCCTTTCTCTTAGAACAAGATTACAAGTATACAAGAATAACAAAATAACCTCTCTCCCTTGAAATTAGGATTTTATCTTCCTATTTTTTCTTATGCCAAGATTGAGAAACTAGCATCCTATTTATAATAAAATAGCACATGCTAACAACCCTAACAATATTTACTCATGCTAACAACCTTAGCAATATTTACTCATGCTAACAACCTTATCAATATTTACTCATGCATGTTAGAACAAACTTCGACTACAACACACATTACTTGCGAACAGACTTCGACCACACTAGAGTTCGATCCAATGTCTCACATATATATATATATATATATATATATATATATATATATATATATATATATATATATATATATATATATATATATATATATATATATATATATATATATATATATATATATATATATATATATATATATATATATATATATATATATATATATATATATATATATATATATATTAGAAAATCAACCAGACCAAATGCATCATAAATCCATAATCTTTTGATTGTAATAATTTTTGTAAACGGTACTCTCAATGATGAAATATTAATAATAAATCATGTGAAATAACGAGTGTCTTTTTAACATCTTCAATACCTACATTGAAAAAACTCAATAATTATGACATACTTATCATCCCAAGTATGCATTATCCAGATAAATTGTGTTTGCTTTTAGGCGGATTATAATACATAAATTTATACTATATCTTATCTTATGCAAATCAATTCAATTAATTATGCAGCAAATATCATTTGTAAACATGTTTCAACCAACTTAATCAAAATAACTAGAATACAATTTAATAAATTAAATAGGAAATGTCTTAATTTTACAAAACACTCCCACAAATATAGGTGAAATCCGTAAATTTATTGCATTTGCTATTTATAATTATTAGATTATTCAATATTTTATAGTGCGATAATAAATATATAAATAAATAAAGAGAAAAAAAATATACGGATAATGAAAAATATTTTATACTGTCAATCAACTATATATCAGAATAAAATATATTATTTTTAAAATACTGATATTATATAATAATTGTAGACATTTTGATTAATTATATGTATAAAACTGTTTATATTAACAGTGTACTATCTTTAAACTCATAAATAAATTAAAAATGAAACATGACTAAAAAATATATTATTTAAACAGTATTTAAATAAAGATTAAGACCGAGAAATTTGAAAGTTTTAATTTTAAAGTAATAATTGTTTATATATTATGTAATAATATTTATTAAGAAATATTATGTATTAGATATTTTATAAATAATTATTTTTTAAATAATTATCTAAAAATATATCATGTAATAAATTTTAGATATATAATAAATAATTTATTAAATTTGAAATAAATATTTATATAATAAACATATAATATGAAATATAAAGTATGAAATAATTAAATAAAAGTATAAATGTGTGAGAGAGATAATTAAAATAATAAAAATATATTTTTGTAATATTGTAGGAAATAATTAAAATATTTTTGTAATATTAAAATAATTAAAATAATTAAAATATATATTGGAAATTATTAATCAAACAAAATTGCCATTATAAAAAATAAAAAAAATAACGGATGGCAAATAATATATTCTGATGATTGAATTTCATGTAAATTAAAATGAGGGAACCTATGTTACTTAGGGAGGGAATCTAATTTTTTTTTTAATTTCACTCAAATGATAGGGAAAAAAAATAAATATTAATCCTTTAAATAATGTTACCTCAGTTTCTAATTATATATTTTTTGTTGTTTTAAAATAGTATTTGTATATAATTATAAGTTATTTTATGGCATCAATAAAATTTTTTAATGTTATTTTTTCTATTATATATTCTTAAATATTTAGTATTCTTTCTTTCAATTATTTAAATTTATATCTCTGATACTACTACCGCAACTCAAATAATTATGCTTAATATATTCTTCGTAAAATCTACACTTTTTCAATTCACTTGCTATGAATTTGATTATGTATACTTGAATGTACATATAAAGCTATTCCAAATTACACACATGATACATGGAATTAACAATCTTACATGTTTTCATTATTTGATACACACAAACTGCTACTTATTTATTACACACTCTAACATTTTCTTTTATTTGAATCAACCATATTATATATATATATATATTAATCAGTTCATTGATGCAATTCCTTAATTAATCACCACCACCTTCACCATAACCCCCACCATGACCATAACCTTCACCATAACCAGAGCCTCCTCCTCCACCTCCGCCACCGCCACCGCCACCTCCTCCTCCTCCACCTCCACCTCTACCACGACTTCTTCCTGATCCTGATCCAGCTCGAGATCCTGCATACGAGCCTGCTTCAGAGCCTGCCCCGGACCCCGAACCAGAACTAGAAGACGAAGATGAAGATGAACTTGAAGAAGAACTAGAACCAGAGCCAGAACCTGCTCCAGCTCCGGCTCCAGAGCCGCTACCACCTCCAATTCCCAAACCTACTCCTGCTCCAAGACCTATTCCTAACCCACCAAGGTCCAAACCCAAATCCTTCCTTGCTATTCTGCTTTCTGATTCAATAACTGAAATCAAAACAAGCATTGCAAGTAAACAACGGGACCAAGGTGCAGCCATTAATGTAGCAGCTTCAAGTATTAATATAGGATATAATTGAGCAAAGTTTAGAGGGTATATAGTGTAGTATTTGATGTTGGATATATACTATGAAGAGGTTTAGGGTATTTATAGATGTTGAATGCTATGGTTAATGGCATGGAATGAAAATAAGTAGTAGAGTATTGTGTTGGTGTAAACGTGCTTAATAAATTATTTTAAGTTTGAGGCTAGAAAGTGGAGAGAGATCATATTGGCGTGGCATTTTGGATATGGATGTTAGAAAACTTGTGGCTGATGAAGTGTGCCTGCACAATGTTGGCATGATTTCAAGGCATGTGCCAATAAAATGCCGAACCATATTATGGCCACTAACCATAGTGGAGGATGAAAGGCTGTTTATTGTTGACTATGCATGCTATGGTATGATAGTAAGCATCAAGATTTAAAAAAGGCTGCGGTTTTCACGATTTTGATTCATACATGTGTTGCGTTGCGAGAGCGATTATAATTGTAGCAGTATGAATTAACTACAATTTATTCTTTAACATAAAAAAGTGAATAACAATAATTAGTATCAACACCGTTTTGTCCATTTTTAATCTCCTAATTTTTGTACAAGGTAATAGTGGTATATCATTAACTTTTTCTTGTATGATCACCAATTTCCACTTAGAAGGTTCAAGAATGCTTTTATTTACCCATATGAATGACTGGCTTTGAGATAGTAAAAGATACGCGCAAATAATTACAGTTAGTTTGAGGTTCTAAAATACTGTATACTTTGTAATTTCTAGAAGGAGTCCTTGTATAATTGAGCAGTTAAGGAGGAACGAGGAAAGTTTTTTTTTTTTTTTTTAATATATAGAAAGAGAATAAAAAACCAATGTTATTAGGAATAATATATATACCAAAATTTTGGCAAATATTGGGACATCCGATCAAAAAATATCTTGTTAAAATGTTGACAACTACGTAAGATAATTTACGAGCCAGCATAACTATTTCTATATCTATATTTATACCGTATATATTATTTATAAATATAATGGATAATATTGTAAACAGTAAAATTGTATATGTGAAAAGTCTTGTGTGTATAAATAGCATTTGTGAGTAGTGTCTGTGCAGAGTGCATGAACAATAATTTTTTATAGTAAAATAAAATTAATTAATAAAATATAAAAAAATGATTAATGAACTAATAAAGTTGATTAATGAACGTTTTGATATTAAAAATATTTTATAATAATAAAATAAAATTGATTAATAAAATATAAAAAATTGGTTAATTAAATTATGAATTTGGTTAATAAACGCTCAAATATAAAAATAATTATAATAATAAAATAAAATTGATTAATAAAATTTGAAATACTCATTAATGATGTTATAAAATTGATTAATCACATAGTACTTCTTAATTGCAAATATAAAAAAATTAATTTTTATATATTTTTTAAAAAGTTTATTTTATTATTATAATATTTTATTGTTCACTGTAATTAATAAATAATAAATACGATAATATATATATATATATATATATATATATATATATATATATATATATATATATATATATATATATATATATATATATATATATATATATATATATATTAATGTAAGAATAATATTTTTCTTTTTCATTGCAAGCTTATCACCCAATTAGTTCTAACTCATTTCAGAATTGATGTGACATATATAGACGGGGTTAAATTTTTGAGAAGGTGACATATGTTGTGAGAGTTAAATCTCTGAAAAATTTGCTGATGTTTGAATTGACAAAACATGCCAGGGGTTTTATCTCTAACTTTTGTTTTTAATTATAAAAATTTTAAAATCTAATTATCTTATTTATATATTTTATATTAATATTTATAATAATATAATTATAATAAATAAATTTAATAAATTAATATTTTATATAATTTATAAAAAGTAATTTAACTTTTACAAATTGCATTAAAAAAAAACAACAATCATTCGTGATTCAATTATTAAAGTTATAAAAGTCACTTTTTTCTATGCTCAACCTCTACTTGTTCATCAACTCATTCATATCCACCAAAAATTTCATATTCACCAAAATCTCCATCTCTCATTTGTGATAAAAAATTGCTCCTCAGGAGCTACCTTTTCCCTCTTTTTTGAGATTGATTACCGAGTCTTCTATTCCTGCAAGGGGGAGTGGAGTGAGTTTATGGAGCGAGGTAGCCCCGCAGGGAATCCAAATAAATTAATCTATAACTCAAGTGAAGTGACCAAAGAAGCAAGACTAAGCGCAAAAACAGAGATAAAAAACCCAGGACCAAAGTGTTTTCGTGTTATTAGCGTCTAGGGCGAAAAATTTGTGGCTAAGGTCCATGCACACTAGTTCAACGCGCCCACGTAAAACACACAAACTGAACTAGCAAGATTAGGGTTTGGTTTTTAAGACGGCGCAGACTCAAGGAAGAAGTTTGCTTCAAAGCTAGAAAGACTTAATAAACGCATTTCCAGTACACTGAGCTTATACCTTCTAAATTTTCAGCACATTTTTACGAACAAGATTTTGTGAACACTCTCGTTCAACTTACAATGTTTCCTCCATCCCTAATTGTTTTCTCTTTATTTGATCCATTTTTGCCTTTTGTGTTCCCTTTCTCTATGCTAATTTATGCATCATGTCTTCTATTTTAGGGGTTATTATTGGTGGATGTGACGACCCCTCTCTCTTTACAATTCTCACATATGGAACTACAAAATGCAATCTAAGAGGAGAATGAATTAAATTTGCTAGATTTTTCTTACTTCATTAGTGGAATTTTAATATTTTTATTTTAAGCTAAGTAATTTTTTGTTTTTATGGTTCTAAGGAAGAATAGTGCGGAAAATAAATAACACAATGATTTATACTAGTTTCCCTTATAATCAACGGCACATCTTGTCCCTTCACACCTTGATGGATGGATTTTCTACTATGATGAGATTCTCTACAAGAAATTTTCCATTTACCAACGACAAAAATTTGTTGGTAAAGGTCCAAAAACAATTGGTAAAGGTAAAAAAAACCTATACCAATAGAAGTTTGCTTCTATCAATTATAATTCCCTATACCCACGATAAATTGTCGTCTCAATTTCTTATGCCAACGAAAATTTATGTTGGTATAGATTTCGATATTGATTTTTATTTTACAATTGTTGTTATTTCATTGATATATACTTTAATGCTAATATATATATATATATATATATATATATATATATATATATATATATATATATATATATATATATATATATATATATATATATATATATATATATATATATATATATATATATATATATATATATATATATATATATATATATATATATATATATATATATATATATATATATATATATATATATATATATATATATATATATAACTTTAAAATTAGCGATAACTAACTTATCTTAGACTATTTTAGAAGTTTATGCTAATAAACATACAAGTTCAAAGAAAAATCACTTTTGGGTATCGCTAATTTTAAAGGGAGTCTAAGTTGGTCAAATCATATCATTTTGAGATTTCTACAACCATCATTTTGGGGTGGAGTGAAAGGGAGTCTAAGAAGCTTGGGGTCTTGGTGTTTGTGACCTTCGGTTGACCAACTTGGACCTTTTGGGTAGTGGAGTTTGTATCTTCTTTTAGGGGCTTCTAGTATTTGGTGTGATATTCTCACAACCAAATATGGTGTAGTCTCTACAACCACTATTCTGGGCGGGAGAGCCAGATGCCTTCGATGGACCTCACCTTTGTGGAGAAGTGTTTCTCTTCTGGAAGATAAAGCGAATGACAGTTATGGCTGATTTAGGGATAGTCTTTCCTTGAATGTCAGTTATGGTCTCCTTACCTCCTTTTGGGAGGATCTTTGGGTTGGGAATACTCCCATTCATCTTAGACTCCATAGAATTTTTTTTTAATTTTTAACCAAGTCTCTAAATATGTAACGGAGGTTGGTAGATGAGAGAGGGAGAGGTGAACTTGAGACCTCAAGTGGAGAAGACCTTTTATCTTTGAGTACGAGTTGGCTTTTTTAATTGTTCTCTAGTATGTGATTAGAGAGTTTACCCATTCTTTTGAGAGTGATATGTGGAGGTGGCGCGAGTTAAGTGATTAGGCTTATTTTGTGTCTTCTGCCTACTCCTATCGTTTGGCTAGAGAGTTCCGATAGGTCGTCAGGTTTCTCTAGTAGATTTAGTCCTTCCCTCTTTCTGATGTAGTTAGGCCCCCTCTAAAGTTATAATTTTCTCTTGGGAGCTTCTTCAGAATTGTATCCCTACCATATACAACTTATTTAAGAAGGGAGTTCCTTTATCATTTGGGACTTTTTCTTATCCATTTTGTTCAATTCTCATTGATTCATCCTCTCATCTCTTTGTAACATGTGAGGTTGTTTCATCTGTTTGGTAGATGATTTTTAGGTGGTTAAAGTGATGTGTTATTTTTCCTAGAGATATATTCACTCTTCTCTAGATGTTAATCCTTTCTAGTCTAGGTCTAAGGAGGGGTTGAGGATGATTCGACATGTCATGGTTTGGTTGATTTAGAAATCTCAAAATGATATGATTTTTTTCAGTTTTTCAGTGACACCAAAAGGCGTGGAAGACATGAGCATTATTTTGGCTTGGAAATGACATCTTGGTAGGTCTGTGGAAAACTCACGTGCCTTCTCGACTTGGCTTGAAAACCCTATTCCACTTATGAGCTAAAAGTAGTCTAGTAGGTTTGGCCTCCCTCAGATGTGTTCTCGTTGTGTTATTTGTGGCTTATTTCTATTGCGCATGTCTTGGGTTAGAGAGATCTAGCTTTGTATGAATTTTGGTTTGTGTGTCATTTCTTTGTTTCTTATGGAGTGTGTACTAGTTCCGTTTATAACCTTATTATTTCTATCGATATAGAAATCAAGAACAGAACTCTAAAATAATCTCTATGAGTCTATATACCATCAACTTGTATCCCTTAAACCCATATTAGAATTC